CCATATTAATATTGGTAAAAAAATTCTGTGGCTTTTATATGAGAGTATATATTTTAAAATAGCTGCATGATATGGTAGAGGTAAAAGCTTCATGTGGATCATAAAATTAATATTACGTGGGAATTTTCATTTATTTATTTAATAAAGAAAATATTCAAGCCACAATTAAATTTTTTTCACTGGATTATTTGCATACAAAGTTTGCAGCAAATATTTCCTGCAACAGAAGTGACAATTTTTTATTTTGCCAAGACAGGAAATTTAGTTAGTGAAAGCAGTCAACTAACCCTATTTTGGGATGTTAAATAGGAAGGCAAATTTTTGAATTTAAATTTTTTTGAAGGAAGACTTCATTTAGTCTTGCTATCATTTACGTGGCTTTTTAACTTTTTTATGGTATTTATAATTTTATTGTTATTCAGCTTTCTGTTTGCTTAGAATGCACATGAATGTAGACTTGAAATATTTTATATTGCAAACTGAGATGCCATTGTTATCATAATTAAAGATTTGTGTTCTGATTTTGGAGGAATTTACTGATAATACTTTTAATTGTGTATTGGTTTATTGAAATGTGTAAAATAGGCTGTTAATGCATATACATGTGTAAAATAGGCTGTTAATGCATATACATGTGTAAAATAGGCTGTTAATGACATGTATATGTTTATGAAGTATTCTGTTATATATGTATATAGTGTTGTGATTAGTTTTCTGCTTACTCTTTATTTAAGAAAAAGTTATCTGTAAGAAAGCGAATATTCTTTACTATATGTAGGAGTAAAATTGGAAAGGCTAATGCAATATAATTAATACGAAATTAAGTTTTTCTCGTGTACTTAAATACAAACATAGCCATTAAAGACTTTCTTAACTTTGCAGTTAGTTCTAAACAAATTTTTAGGTACTTTTTACTTGAAATCATAGGCATTGTGTAAGGTATATAATTGAAGTTTACTGTGTGATAGTATGAACTTAAATTTTTAATTACTGAAATGTAAATTTTTAAATAGAAATACTCAGTGCATTTTATATGCATCTTTTAATACTTCAACTATATTTAAAAAACTGAAAACATCTGAAGTGTGAAATTATTACAAATTTTCCTTTTTCTTGTTTAGGAGCTGTTCTCAAAACATTGGGTGACAAAGAATCACTTTTACAAAAATCGAGCAGGATATTAAAGACAGCGAACTATAGAACAAATATGGCGAAGCTGAATGAAATCTATGTTGAATTTTATTATTGAAAAAAAATTATGCTCTTCAGATTTAATGTTAGTTTTATTGTTTAACAGTAATTGCAGTTTTCGAATACCTGTAAAATAAACCTAATTCTTAATTAATTTCATGTGTATTTCTTTTGCAAGTATTACAGTTCATAATACTTCAAACAACTTGAAATTTGATACTTGTTAATTTATGTGGGATATGTTCATAATAATTTTATCTATTAAATAACTCATATCATATATATTTTATAATCTAAAATGCACAGCATTTGACAACCAAATTAATCAAAAATTAGCCAACTTCTAACTGGTTTCTTTTGTCCAGTTGCCTCTTTTAAATCATTTAATACATAAAGCTATTTGATGAAAAAAAAAAAAATAATTGGTATTTCCACATCAACATGTCATTATAATGATGTTATAGAAAAAGTCACATGAGATAATATTAAAAAAATTCAATATTCCTAAACAAATTAACTTTTTAAAATTTATCTGGTATATAAGATAAAATAAAGAACATATTTAGGTATTTTGAATTTGATAATTTTATGAACGTATTTATGAAATTAACAGTTTACATTGTAAAAGGGAACTTTTTAAAAATGTTCCGATAAAGCATTTCTTTTGTAGAGGTGAACTTTTAGTACTGATCTAATATATTTATAAGATTTTAAACTGAGAAAGACAATAATAATAGATTACAATACATTGCAGATTGACTGATAAATGTAAAATTTTTACATATCATTAATTATGTCTGTAATTAAAACAGAAGTTACTCGATTAACTTACATGCAAATTAATTTTCTTTAACATGTTTTGGATAAACTTAATTTTAATGAATAAATATGTATATATTTGTGTATATCTGAAGATATGAATGCAATATTTGTGCATTAAACATTCATCTTCAAGGAACATAAGTCAACTTCGTAACTATTGGAAAAGGTAGTTTTCTTCTACATTTCCTGGTATATTTAACAATTTTAAATTTAGCACACTCATTCAAATAATCTAAATGTATGATGTTTACTGAATGGGTAATTAACTATATTGTACTTTAGATAGAAATTAACGTAGGTATTCCCCGTATTTTTACGGTACAAAAACTTATATATTTGTTAATAATTGACCTAAATCTTCCCTATGTTTTCTTTGCATATGCGAATGACTTTGGTAAAAATTTAGTCCGATATCTTCTCCTCTTTACTGTGTATAAGTGCACATTTTTGGTAAAAAATTTGCATAAATCTCCAATTACCTATTTACTGCATTTTTCTTAAAATGTGCTTAATTTAATCTCATATTTTTTACATAAATCTATGCAAAAATGTTCTGCATATTATGATTTAAAGATAAAATTTTAATTTGATATCAAATTTTTACATATCCACCTTTTAGGTATGTACAGCAATATGGAATATATATAACTGGAAAATTTAATGCAAAAAAATTAATTTATTCAAAAATTACTAACACTTAAAGCGAAAATCACTTTGAATATTTCATTTCAAAGTGACTACAAAATATGCAATAAATTTTGTAAACCTGAGTTCTATGTTTTAAATCAATTAATGTTATCGTTTCATTTAAATGGCATAAGAAAATGTCCTTCGGAAAAGCAAAAATTTATTTAAAGTGTTATTTAATATGAATTTAGTAAACCTTTAATACGTGTTTACTAATTTAAATTTATGAATGAATTAGTAAACAAAAAAATGTAAATGAATGATCACCTTAATTGATTTAAAAATAGAATTGATGTTTACGAAATTTATTGCATTTTGTAGGCGCTTGAAATGAAATATTAAAAGTGATTTAGCCTTTAAGTGTTTGTAATTTTTGAATAGAATTTTTTTTTTTTTTTTTTTTTTTTTTTTTTTAACTTACTATTGCATTAAATTTTCCAGTTATATATATTCCATGTTGCTGTACATAACTAAAAGGCAGATATGTAAGAATTTGATATAAAAATGACATTTTACTTTTAATCATAGCATGCAAAAGTTTTTGCATAGATTTACATAAAAAATATGAGATTAAAATAGTACTTTTACGAAAATGCAGTGAAAGGTAACTGGAGATTTATGCAAATTTTACCAAAAAATTGCATTTATACACACAAAGTGGAGAAAATCGGATTTAAATTTTTACCAGTCATTCGCATATCAAAGAAAACATATAAATTTAGGTCAATTACTATCAGATGATACGTTTGTACCGTAAATACGGGAAATATATACGTTATTTCTATCAATAATATAACGTTTTTGTACCGTAAAATACGGGGAATATCTCCTTAATTTTTCCTAATATATACTTTAAATACAGTAAAAAATCGGGGAAATTAAGTAAATTTTCTAAATATATAACGCCATACGTGAAGCAAAAATGAGATTTACGTATATGCGATAAATATACGTAAATTTTACTAAAAATATACGTAATCCTGAAATACGTATATTATAATAAAAGTTGCGAATGAACAGCAGTCTCTCACGTAAATATACTAAATTTTCTTCAAATTTATGTATAGTAAACGTAAAAATATACGTAAATAAATAGTAATTGCCACTGGACACTTTTTATGATATTTTTACGTTCAACTTGAACGTTTTTTATACGAAAGGCCATTCGTAAATTGCACGTATTTTTCTCGTGCAATTTACAAATGCTTGCTGCCTGGGAGGCTGGTGGTGGCAGTATTATGCTTTGGGGCACATTCTCATGAACGGCTCTAGGGCCCATCTGCAACAGTATATTACAGTACAAGTGAAAAAAATTACAGTTTCACTCACGCTTGTGTCAGATTCCGCAATGCTTATGGAGGGGATTTGAGCAATGCTCCACAAAATTTTCGTGAACATCATGGGGTCCTGGGGTCGTGAAAAAAAATCTCAGTGATAAAAAAGGGTTGTGACTGAAAAAACTTTAAAAAGCCCTGCGATAGAGCATATTTGGGATGTCATGGAGCAGCGACTCAGAGCTCAAATACCACCATGTCAAAATGTCTTGACTTTGCAAGACCAGTGCTTAGATATTTGATATAACCTGTCTCTAGTCATCTAACAGAAATTTGTAGCATTCATGTCAACATAAACTGCAGCTGTCACACAATGCATTATTCAGTAAGTGGTTTTGGCTCTTCAGTGAATATACTTGGTTTTTGTTTTAATTTACAAACAAAGTTGTATGGATAAGTATGCTGCACAAATTCTTTTAACAATAACTGGGACAAAATATTTATGATATAAATTTTCAAATATGAATTATTTTATCAATAATGATGTCGATTCTCTTTTGAAGAAACAAAATATAAAATTTTTATTGCTAAAAAAATCATAGGGATATTTTATACATTTATATATACTTAAGACGGAAACATTTTTAACATGGAAGATCTCTAAATATAACTAAGTTTGCATCTTCCCGTTACATTATTAATTTCAGTATATATTTTGTTGCTAAAAAAATATTAGGTTGATATTTATATAATAATCTCAAGTTGATTTTTTAAATGTCAAGTTAATATTTTTTATCAAAATATTTTTTTAAATATCATGTTGAAAATTTTTAATGTCAATTTTCGAAAAATAAGCCAAATGTTAGTTTATGTGTACCCTAATTAATGATATTTAGAATCACACATCTTCACTGTGGTTACTACAAAGGAATATTTTACTGCAAAGATCTCCACAATAAAGGAGCTATTTATATGTATACATTAATCACATTTAGCACATAAAACAAGCACAAAATAAAAACTTACTTAGACATAACCCTTAATGTTGGTCTGTCACCACTATCACGATTTCTTTTATGTTTTCGCCTCTTTTTAGGTTTAGTACATATCTCTTCATCAACAGAATCTTGGTGATTTTCTGAAATCTAATTTTAAAAAAGCAAAGTTAAAAACGCAGAGATTATATTTCATAATTTTTTAAATACAGCTGAACCCCACTTTATTGGACTTCAAGGGATTAAAAGTTTGGTTTGCAATATACATTCTAATAAAAAAAATGCATTATTTCACAAAAATTGGTAAAAATTTAATGATGAATACAGAGGGAAAAATATTGATTAACACTGTCAAATCTACCAAAAGAAATGAATAATAAATCTAACTTTAAAAAATCATATTAAGATTTAATTGCAATTATTATTTGCAGATATTAAATTTGTTGTCGATTTTTTTCCAGTCTCCAAGAGGTGTCTGGCAAATTCATTGATCTATGTTTGATGCATTGGCCCAGATATTGGCAAATTATAGCTTGTTCAAATAGTAAACTATTTCAGCAATGCTTCTTCAATATCCTGATACTCAACCTTTCTTACCTTATATCCAAATTTTTTCCATAAGCAGAAATTATAGTTCTGATTTGTTCATTATAGTACCAACTGTAGATTTCGATCAACCTTTTTACCACTTCCTTCACTATTAGTGATGATATTTTCTAGATTTTACAGAATTCAGCATCTGTTAAGTTAATGCTAGGGCATTGTTGTAAAGAAGACTTTATCATCTTCATTTAGAATTTTTTCACATATCCCATTAGCTGTAAAATTTGACTTTTTTGAACAGGGGAAAGTTGATGTTTTTCTGTGAACCAGGCATAACTAATTTCGTTTGCCTCCTTTTCATTGTTTTTCCTGATGCAACCTCATTTTTTCATCTAGTCCTAGTATTGATTACTATTATGTTTTTAAAAGTCCCTTCCCCCAATTGGGGATTTTTGAAGGACAAGTGACAAGAATAAGTGATTATCCTATTTCCTAAAAAGATTTCAACACAAAGAAAAATTGCATTTGAATAATCATTTTATGAAACTAAAATGCAACTCAAAGCTAAAATGATGATATTTTCTGCCATTTTAGCTTATTATAGATTTCATACTCTGATTTAAAGAGTAAACTGATTGATGACTGTGGACACTGCCATTGCAATGACAGACTTAAGTTACATAATTCAGGCAACATTTCTTCACAGGTTCTGTTAATTAAAAAATTCCACTTGTGATATTATCCAAAAACTTCAGATTTACAGCTATCATAATCATAAAATATGGTAACTGGCAGTAAATTCTGCTAGGTATTTTTATAAATGTCTTCAAACTTGTTCACTCGAAACCTTGACATGCTTCACACAGCCAATTTTTTTATTAAAATATTTCAAGATTCCATGGATAGTCTTACTGCTGAACCAGTTTTAAAAAGAATGTTTATACTTCGATTTTCAGGCACATAAATTCTGACATTTATTGGCTGATTCACTGGTGTACAGTATCACCATAAAAGTCAAATGAAAATATTTATAAATATTATATACTACAGACTTAATTTTGATGGGATAACAGTAATCCTAATACATTGAATAAAATAAGAAACAGCATCAAATCAGAAAGTTAAGGAAAAGTGCACTTCACAGTGCTAATTGAACTGCACTGAAATCAAATTCCTTCTCCTTTGTTCTCTCCTAGGGTTACAAAAGAAAAGCAGTATGTGCAACGTTCCATTCTAAACAAAGTCTTTAAGCTTCCTTCTTCCAGTTATTAGATGTCTGAGTTTGGACTCTGCATTGGAATTACACAATATTATACGTTTATACAAAATATACATTAGCCTTTTTAACTGTTATAATGACAATATAAATTTCTTTTTGTATGTATATGATAAAAGTTTTAAAGAAAGGAATTAAGCAAAATGCCGAATCACATTCTGTGCCAAATTTTCTACCAAAAGAATTTCTTTCTAAACAGCATATAATACTCCTTCTTATAGGCTTTATTCCCTCCTCCCCTCCAGGAAAACTATAATCTGGAAAATGTCTTTCAGTTAATCTTATAACATAATTGTTTGTACTTAAACAACCTGGATTTTATATTCTATGCTGTATGCCATGTTTCAAACAATTCAGTCAGAAGCTTGTTTTACCATTGTTCTGATTTTTATCTAAAATAAACATTAAAAATTCATATATCTAATAACTATCTAAAAAATGTTTTTATATCTTTATTTTCTAGATTTTATAACTTTTTATAATTTATGTTGATCAAAAAAATCTACCTCACTCATTGTGTTGTTATTATCAAGTATAATTTTTGCCTTAACCTGTTGTTTACCATATTTTGATGCTGTTTTACTGTTTCATTAAAGTGAATTGAATTCATCAGAAATGACATCTTTTCCTTTCTTCATTCACGTTACCATGATCTTGAAATTTTGATAAAAAAGTTTCTCCTTCCTTTAGTTTTGCATATAACTCTATAGGGACAACCTTTTTATTTATTTTAAATGTTTCAAAAAGCTCTTTCTATTTTTTATAAACAATTTAACAAGTTCAAGAGAACAGTAATAATTATCATTGTTAAACAATAACCATTATTTTATAATGGCTTGCTAAACTCATAACAATTTTTGTTCCCATACCACTGTATAAGTTCCTTTACCAACATATGTAATAACTGACCAAATATACCCTACTCCTCAATGTAGTGTACTTATACTCCTACAATTGAATGTCAAAGAAAAAGTATTTTATTGCCAAATGATTTCTTTTTTAGTGGCAAATAATGCACTCAAGAAAACAAGGACTTGCTGCTTCACACTAAATTTTTGAACATTATATTAATAATGTTCAAAAACTACACAACATCTAAAATAATAAAATTTGCATATAATATAAATTTAAGATTCACTGATTTTTTAGCTCGAATTAGAAAGCTTTTTTTTTGTTAATGTTTATGAACAATTTATATTGCAAAATCATAATTCAATTCTATTTAATTTATGCACATAGCATTGTGTTTAATCAGTTAATTAAGCACTGACTGGACTTCATGTTGATAAAAATTGACACTATTGTTAATACACCAAAATAGAAATTTCAGTCTTATTTTCTGCTACCCGATTTGACTTGTAACCACGGGAACAGTTGCAGTAAAAAGCCGCCCTTTTATTTCTACTTAGCATGTTTCACTTCATGTAAAAGCACAAAAATGAAAGTTAAATTCAACTACAGTCTCAGATAAGGTGGAGAAAATAAATGTTGTTTGATGATGACGATATGAGTTGCTATTGCAAACAGGGGGGGAAGCTGGCACCTGCCTTGAAATGTCAGTTTTAAAGTAACAGACTGTAAAGTTGATATTGATACTGGCAAAATAAGTGAAGCAGTCTTTAAGGTTTACTCTTAACGTTACAAATACTGCTGGTATTTATAAGTATAAATTCAGATACAAGTTTCTTTACCATCTCAAGGGGGAAAAACATAGCATTTAACCCAAATAAGTCACAGAACAAGTGCTAAACTTGCTTAAAAAAATTTCATGAAATTTAGAAGTAGCAAATTTCTTCGCATTCGGAAAGCTTGTAAATTCAAAACAAGAATCAAATTTTTCAATTGAACATACTACAATTTCACATTTTTCAACACACATTATTTCAGAAAAAGTATTAAAGAATTATTATTTTATTAAGAAAATTATTATTAAGAAAAAGCTTTATTGTCTTGGAAGTTATGGTACAAAAAATAGTGAAGAATAAAGGATATCAAAAAGAACATTTAAAATGAAAAAAGTTTAGATAAAATATTTCTGTAAATATAATGAAATTCATCTTAAAAATGTGTAAACAGCCTCTGTATCTATGGAAGACTAGAATGTAAGAGGTGTGGTGGTGTATTTAATTATGGCAAAGCACACTAGGGCTATCTGCCTAAGAGGAGGGATGCCTTCGTGGAGGATTTTCTAAGGGAAACTGGCTCGTATACACGTTACACATGGGGAAAACCACGAAAACACCCATGCAGCCAGCCCGTTCGCGGGATTCGAACCTCGGACCAAACTACCAGTGTTCAGCTACTTTACCGCTCGGCCGCTAGTGGGCTCCTAGAATGTAATAGGAATCTAGCACAGTAGCCTGAATAATTCATTACACCACAAAGTACCTGCCTGACTAAATGAACTGTCAAGTAAATGCAACTTATTCATCTGTTATTCTCATATGGTTTTACTATCATATACTATAGTCTGACATATGTTCATCTATTATTGTTACGCTCAAGGATAGCATCCATTAAATCTTATGCTTTCAATGATTGCAGCAAGTGTACTTACTCCTTTGGTAGAGATCCATGTTTTACACTACTGCATATCGAACCTTAAAAAATTCAAAACAACAGTTTGTATAACTTGCCTTTTCTTGATCATTCATATGTGAAAAGTTCTAAAGTTGTTTTAATATTTACAATCAGGACTTAGTTTTTTAAATTAAAAGTGCTGCCACTTCATTGAGTTGTCAGTAATGGTGAACATAAATAATTGAATAAAATAATAAGAAATAAAATAAGTAATAGATAGCTAAAACTAAGTAAAGCATAAAGAGATAAACGTGTTAATGATTTAAATTCATAATAAGTAAGCAGTAAATTAGAGTATAATATAAATTAAATAAAAGTAAAACAAATTTAATATTACATTTTTAAAAAGGTCAAATGAAATAATAATAATATAAATGAAAGATGAATAAATTAATTGAAACCAAACATATTTCTATAATCAAAAAGACAGTGATTGAGTATTTTTATCAATATTCTTTGTACACAGATAAAATAGCACCTTTATTTTGGCTTCTAATGCTGCATGCACACATGCTCTAAGACGATGTCTCTTTACGGAAGCTGTCTTTTTCATATCATAAGACTGTTAGCTATGCATATATCTTTCTAAAATATTTAAATAGATAAATATCTCTTTTGTAGCAAATTAAATGCAGTCTACACCTTCCTAGTTTTGCTTTCGGATGCAAAGATGGATCAGAAGCTTCATTGTTATAAAAGTTCAAATACTGCATTATTAAGCCTGCATTCTCTCTCAGAAAAGTTTTGTAAAACTAGGCACATGAATTAATTTAATTTTTTATCAACCTAATAAATATTACAGTTTTTACACAATGCCTTGTATAATTAACACAGCTAAAAATACACGAATATCAAGATTTATAATAATGTCAGTTCAATATTTTGAATACAAATACATACTTAAAATTAGCTAGAAATGCTTTGAGTTGAAGACAAATTGACTTTCTTGGTAATATGATTTATCACTTCATTATGAAAAAAAATAAATAAAGTTTAAAATAATAAATAGGACTGTCTTTTTCTGAAATAAAAACTGTCATTCCCAAGTTGCTACTAAAATTGAATGCTGTTGGAGGAGATAAAAATCTTGAGAAAGCAGCTAACACTCCTGTCTAGCTTCAGATAAAAGATCTTTACTATCTTCCTGTGAAGATTAAAAACTAGAAAATACACTTTCAGACAAATAGTATCACCATTAGAATTACTAGAAGAATCAAGAAAAACAGGAAAAATATGTTTGGATGCCATTATAAGACAGTTAAAATGTTTAATCAAAGAATCATTATAGTGCTGCATTATGAAACTAGAATAAAAACAAACTGCGATTTAAACATATAAAGTCAGTTCTACTATTCAAAAAAAAAAAAAAAAAACTTGGAGCATTTTATGAACTCTGTTTCTAGATCATTATGCCACGAAGAGTGAAATCAATGAGTGCATTGAGATAGACTCATTCATCCTTAATGAAGCATTGTGTTGTGACATAATGAGCCAAAATGGCCTCAACGAGATGAGGTTGGGTTAGTTATTTAAAATATTAAAAAAGAGAAGTTGCATTTTAATTAATCCAAACCTTGAAACAGGATTGCCACTCAAACAGGAGAATGAAATTCCCTGACTTTTCCAGGCATGTTTCGAGAGAATTCCAGTCTATCCATGTAATGTACGTTGGCTGTGCTAAGAGGTAAATTAATTAAGGTATTACTTGTACTGTGTAGCAAATTCACTTAATTATTCAATAAATCCCAGAGGACATTTATTCTTAATTATTCTTGGTACACTTTGATAACTTTGCTTACTTTTCCGCTTAAAAAACTTAATAAAATTTAAGATATATACATTGGATAACAACTGTACGTTTTATTTAATTATTACTCGCGTCATCATCCCCAGTTCAACAAGAGGCTAATGTGGTTCTTATAAATTACAATGCAATGCTAAAAGTTAGGTTAGATTTTAGGTAAATTTAATTTGTGTGAGGTGTATTCTAAAAAGGCACCTTAACACTTGAAAACACAAATATAATTATAATAGGAGTTGTTTTCTCCACTGAAGATTGAGATTAGAATCTGCCCAATCTGGAATAAAATAAGGCTTTTTTTGCAGACATTCTGCAGCTAAACGAAAGAAAGAATCTATTAATGATATTTTTTTACTAATTGAGGTATTTATATTTATTTGACAGCATAAGGAAAAAATATGTGCATTAAATTTTGTGATATCATCATACTGCTAGAATTATTTCAGGATTATACCAGAGAAAATTTCCTGAAATTTTGGAAATATTATTTACTAATGATAAATAAATTTAGAGGCAAAGAAGCAACATTAAATGATATGAATAACATAAAATAAAGATAATTACTTAAAAATTTAATTAGAATAATCAATGATATTTTAGCGAATATAGTTATATTACATGGTTATCCTAGATGATTGGTTACTATTTTTTTATTTTACTGCAAAATGAGAAGATATTTATTAAAAAGAAAAGAAAAAAAAAATTTTGCGGTAAAATCCTAGTATACGATACGGCCTTCGCATGATTTTGAAAATTGTCGCCAATAACAAAATGACCCGTTTACTGTCATCATCATGTCGCCAAATCCCACTGTACCATACACGGAGATTATTCTAACCAATGAACGTCTATGTAAAAAGCAGAGGGAAAATTTGCCAAGGGATTTGGCGACGGAACCTGGCGGCCAGAATTTCCTCTTCGCGATATGTACAGCGAAATTGAGAAACACGTGTTAAGAAGAAACGTTCTTTGACAAAAAAGAAAACTACGAAAATCCGTTTTTAAATTATTGCGAAAAATCCAAGAAAAAACGTTCTTTGGTAAAACGTTTCTTTTTGGATTTTTCGCAATAATTTTAAAAACGGATTTTCGTAGATTTTTTCCCCCCTCAAAATAACTAATCCATGAATTAATTTACTTGCACCAAAAAATATTTTCTTTTCCTTTAGAGTTTAAAGAAATTTTAAACGATATTCATTTTATGAACTCTTGATAACGTGACCTTCGAACTTCCGACACCGGTTTCGAGCTTTGGCAACAGATATATCGCACATGCACAGCTGTTTCCCGCTATGATGGAACGGAGCCATGTCTGTTGCAGAGAGGTTTTCCTTCTTTACAATGCATATTTTTTTATTCTAACCTTCGTGGTACCGTATACTAGGATTAAACCCATTTTGTTTTATACGAGAACAGGTACTTTCTTTAGTTCATGCACTGCACATGCGATTCTCGAGGTTACTGGAAACCAAAAGTTGCGGGAAACTTGCTTTGCCTTTCTAAGAAGACAATCAAATTGGAGCTGCGAAAATTGGCTCTATGCCAGCTGCCCGAATGACACTCACGTGATACATAATTCGCCAAAAACGTGATCTCTTCTGACGTCGGCGCAAAACTCGCCTTTTTTGGTGGGATCGTTGTATGAAATTCCCTGACTTTTCCAGATTTTGACTAAAACACTTAAATTCCCTGACTTTTCCCTGAATTTTTTGGTCAATTTCCAAATTCCCTGACTTTTTCCGGTTTCCGGTCCCTGACTTTTTCCAGTGGCAACCCTGTTGAAATTTAACTACAACATATCAATAAAAAATGCTTTGTATGCTATACAGGAGTCTTTCAGGAATGTCGGTTTGTAGACTGAATGTATGGAGTTCCAATAAAAGGAAAAGAACTTGTTTCAGTATAGCATTCAAATTCCACTGAAGATTTCACCTACATTAACTGTGAAGTTATAATTAGGAAAATGATTTTAAGGTGCAAAATTGCTATAAAAAAGGTGGGAAATTTTCTGAAAATATATATAATAGTGCATATAAAAAGCACAGATAAAATCCTTTATTTAAGTCTAGAAAAGTTATATTAACATTCTATAGTCATTCTAGAATAAGTAAGAGTTACATACTATACTAAATATGTATCCACCTTTAAAAGGAAGCATGACAAAAACATTTTTGTAAAATAATTTTATTTAATTTTTTTCAGATCACTCTCATCTGGCAGTGACCTTTGCATTTACTTCTTAAAGAACAACTTGAATGTGGGAATGTTTACTTTGCAGTTTAATTCCTAACTGATTAAATGCTATAGAAAGGTCTACACTATACTGAACTCCCTGGATGAATTGCTGCTTTTCAATTCCTGGATTGAAGGCACATGCCAAGGTAAGTAGTTCCCTTTGTATTTCTCCTTGCAAGATTTTTCTCATATTATCTTGGAAACTTTTGGGGTTACAACAATGTTCATGTGAAAGGAAGAAAAATGTTTTAAAAAGTATTAGGCCCACAAAAAATGCTATAAAATGTATTTAATTTGCCTTACACTATATACTATTCTTGAACAACCTCCATAAAAAAATTTTTTTTTTTTAAATAAAAGGATCTGCATCTCGAAATCCTTTCCTCGGTTATGACAAATGAAATAATTAATAAGACAGTTCATCAAGATGTCCAAAAGGAGATAATGAAAAATGTGTTCCAGCAGTAGAAGAGACATTGGATAGCATCAGAAATATAATAAAGGTTTTTAAATGAATCAATTACCTGATTGTAAAAAAAGCATAAATTCTAGGAAAGTATATAGAATGCATATATATGTTAAAAGTGTATAGAAAACAGCAACATATATACAGTTCTCAGATACAGCCCAGTGTTCCATTCATTTTAGGTTGAAAGAAATCACTATGCTTTTAGTGAACTTTGGATATTGTGAACAAAATATAAAATTCTGCAAAGGTTCACTATAAGCTCAGTTTGATTATACACAGATATAAATAAAAAATAATTCTGCAAATATATTTGTATACAAGTAATTTTAAATAAAAAAAATTAGAATAAAATATAACCGTTATACTCACTGCACTAGGTTCTTCTATATTTGCAGAACATTTATTTTCATTCTCGGATAATGTTCTATGTTCTTCATTAAAAATATCAGATTTTACATGTGCACTGTTAGACTTTGTACCTGGCTCAATCTCAGATTCTCTCCGTTTTTTGATCGGCTTAACCTCTTCACTTTCATGTTTTCGTTTTTTACCAATTCTTTCTTTTTCATGATCTATATACAGAAAAGCAGGATAGCTTAACAAATTTTTATAAAAATTATAAATTCTTTTATTGGTCTTTTCTTTTTTATATCAAAATTCTAATTCATACTATCAAATAAATAAGTTTGTACAAATGCATTGTAAACTATGTTAACAAAACATATATGTGGAGTTTTAATTGAGTTACAAAAGTAGGCTCTGTTATAGCGTTTATTACAAGACACTGATTTTTAATGCAATCATAAAAAGCATGCTAAAACATGAGCAAATAATAAAATAATAGAACTGTATTTGCATAAAAACTGTTTATATATTATACTATCTATCAAATATATCACGCTCTGTAGAATGTTCTGCTACATTATACCAATTCCAGGATTCTTTTAAACATGCAAGTAATGCAAGTTACAATTTTACAGACAAGAAAATGTCTAGATCTTAATATACATCGTGAGAATCCTACTATACATCGTGTCCACGAAAGTCCTTGCCTGGCCTTTTTTTTTCATAGCCAGTGGTTGTAGACATAGACTTTCTATTATAAAAATGTTTTAAATGATGTAAGGATCCTTGTCTAGACATTTTTAAATCTAAAGACATCAGTTCCGTAAAAATTTCAAGATCTAGCTTTTTTAGCTTTTTATACATTCTTCTGATCCCTACATTTACATTTAGGAAAATTTTGTAATCATCATAAAAATCAAAAACACAAAATGTTTGATCCTCAAACAACAAATACTGACCAAGATATAAGACATTTAAGTCAAACATCACATTCAGGGGCTGTATAAACTGAAGAACAAAATATTTGCATTTGTACATAACTAATTCTTTCCATGTAGAATGCTCAAATGTAGAGCTTCTGAGAAATGAATTTTGATTGTGGCATCCTGTACCTGTTAAGGAAAAGTTTCATCAAAATGTTTCCTTTTCCAGACAATGGGAAGGGTTACCTGTCACAATTCAAATTTCTTAATGATACTGCAATTAGATAATCTTGGGATTTAAGAACAAATTTATTCATTTGATAAGTTAGCTTTAAAATTTTAAGTACAGAGAAAATTTCTTTCCTTCGTGGAATCTGCTGGGCAAAACATGCAGTTCTTAACATTAGAACTACTAGAATCAAATTTACACTCAGTTTTATTACCTTACTTACAGCATAAACAATCATTCCAATCATTCTCCCACTAGGTACTGTTTAGTAAAAAATGTTGAGTAAAAATAAGTTAATCTTTTTAAAACTTTGAATTGTATAAAAGTACATAATACATCTTTAGTGTCAAAAGTAATTTTGTCTTCAAAAGTAATTTGCTTTTGAATAGTTGGAAGACTTCAGCTATGAATTATTCACTTCTCTGATAAAATGTTATTTTAAATCATTTTGCCACAAACTTGCATTCCATTTACGTTTGCACATAGCTAAAAAAATCACTATATTTGATCTTAAAAAATTCGGTGGAAACACACGATTACCCAAAGGTGAAGTGACAGCTCATTGTATAGCAATCAGTAAAATTTCACTAAACAGAAGTGGATCTGGACTCAAGGTACATCAAAGCATTCTCTGCTTAAACATGAACAGCTCACTGATAATCATTCATTGGGCCCACAATGTACCAGTGCATCTAGTTTCATGGCTATGGAGAGAGTACCTGTAATTCCTGATTATTACTGCTAGTTTTTCCTGATGTTGCTGTTCTGTAGATCACTTTTCATAAGACACCTGAATTCAAAAACTGATGCTTATATTTGTGACTAACAAAGAGAAGCATTTTCATTTATCATCATTTTATGCATCATTGATTTCAAAAGTATCCCTGCTATAACACATTTCATGCTTTTGTGATTACATAAATTCATTTGAGAAAGTGTAAACAAAAGTTATGCAGAATCTTTACTGAATCAAGCATTATCACTAAATCCTTGAAAAAAAAATTCTAGTTTATTTTAATTTACCTGAATTGAAAGCACACTGTTCAATGACTGTATCACTTTCTGGGTTGCTACTGGAATTATCACAAATTAGCTAAAAAAATTAAGAAGTCATAAGGTAAAATCTAAAATCATACAAACAGAACATCACTAACATGAAACAAACAGAACATCACTAAAATGAAATACTTTTACTCGATATAGTGGTTAAAAAGCATAAAATAATAGCTTATGAAAATATATATATATATATATTGCAGCTAATGGGCTGCCAGCTGTAATTGGGCACCAAAGAACTAAATGTGGTAACGTGTGTACTTCCTTCCATGCATAGATATACAACAACCTCATTATAAATAAGTGGGAAAAGTAATTTCTTTCTCTTTGACATTTTTAGTTGCATTTTTGACACACTGGCACTGATCAATATCACTTCTGGTATCAACTACTCAAGAGTTCTAACCAGTTCATTCATATATGCCAAAAGGCCGTTCACAGTACTTTTAAAAAATTTATGGTGCATAGCACCCACTTGAAGGCGAAGATGTACAACTGAGTTCATCAGGCAGATACAAACTGAGTTCATCAGGCAATCAAAATTGGGTGGAAAGTCAAGGTAGGCGTGGTCACAAACAAAATCTTTCGATAAACTGAAAAGTCAATTTTCTGCATAAGCTTAAGTTCCCAAAGTTCACCAAGTTTTAGAGTAAAATAATACGAATACTAATTTTGATTAAATAATCTTGCGATAATATGTACAAGTTTAGTTACTGAGAGAAGTCGAGATGGATCACGTGATGGTACAGGCAAACGGAGTGATAGCCACAGAGGCAGGCATGGTGAAATTATAATTAGCACAATACTTGAATATTTGAATTTGAAATAACACGCAAATAAAATAAGTAACATAGAGTCGATAGCCTGCTCTACCAGGCACAAAGTCCAATACGCTTTGCCAGAAGACGCAATAATTTAAATTTAACCAAGTTCTTGGTTAAATAAACTTGCAATAACATTAAACTATTTATATAAGCAAATGCAAATCCCCATTTTGGGTTGTGGTCTTTAGACCTAGGCCTTTTTACCATGCTTTCCACTGTGAGGTCGTAGTTTGCAATTTCTCTTATAGTGTACAGGCGAATTTTGCATTTTCTCGAAAAAGTTATGCACTTCCAAAAGGATTTGCTCTGGGATTAGTTTTATTTTGAGGTCTTAAATTATGCTGTTTTGGATGAGCCACGGTGCATTTGTGATAGCTTTAAGAATTTTATTTAGTAAGTAAGCAATTTTCCTTCTTTCTGTTTTGACAGCAGTAGCCCAGGCTGGGGCTGCGTACAATAAAACAGGCCTAACTACGGTTAAGTAGAGCATTTTTTTAATTTTAATATTGAGTTTTGATCTTCTGCCAGTTAAGCGTCATAAAGGCTTTATTTGCTTTATCTACTTGATATCTAACATAATCTTTAAAGAAAAGGCGGTCATCAAGAATTACTCCTAAATATTTCGCTGAACTTGAAACTCGAATGATTTCACTTGCAATTTTGATATAGGAGTTTGTATGCATATTTCTTCTGTATCTTTGGAATGGGACGATATTACACTTTGCTGCATGCAATCTTCCAAAATTGACACCAGTTGGCAACAATGTTGACATGGAACTCTAAATTATCAAGAGCGAGCTGTAGGTTTTTGTAATTGGAGAGAATTACTGTGTCATCTGCGTATTTTAGAATCTTTGCATTTAGAGGATTTGGGAGGTCGTTTATATAGATATTAAATAATTTAGGTGAAATAATTGACCTTTGTGTGACCTTGCTAGCCATTATTTTCTTCTGTGAAAGGGAATCACCAACTCGAACTTGGAAAGTCCTTCTTTTGAGGAATAAGATGAGCTTGCATTTTTGGTACAGAGCTTATCATTTATACACACATATCTCAAAAAAAAAAAAAAAAGGAAAAAAAAAAGAAAAAAAAAGAAAGAAAGAAGAAGTACTGTACAGAATATGCACTTTGTAAATAGCTAAATCAAGATTCAAGGGAAAACCACTGTCATGGAAAATAAAACAGGCAAATCAACAACCTTGTATTCAGTGTAGATTTTGTAAAACCCCAATCGATTTCAAGGGCAAAACGGTTCTTTTTAGCTCCTGATGAAGGAGACCTGTTTTACCCTCGAAATCGATTGGGATTTTATGAAATCTATGCTGAATACAAAGTTGTCGATTTGCCTGTTTTAAATAGCTAAATGTTGAAGATTCACAATTGCATTCTTCCATGACAAAGGTATCATCCAAACTTTGTTTAAAAAAATCACAAACTCAAATAAAATTTTATTACTAAAGTACCCAATCCCCCTCAAAATTAAGATAAAATAAAAAGAGGGGTGTTCTACAAAAGAAGGGTTTGAAGTGCAGATTCTGGATCAAAAGCATATTTCTTCTCTAACAGCTATTGAGTTTATTTACTTCAGGTGTCAAGACTTGGCATTATCAAGCTACTAGAATCCTGTCAACTGCATCAAAGAATGAATCACTGCAGAACTATCAATTAAAATACTTACATACATCCTTATTTACGAATTTCTGCATCTGCCTTTTTTGGGATTTCATAAAACACCATTGTTTTTAACAAAGCTGTATATATCATTAGGGCTGCTATTCGTATCTAGTTACATTCAACATGGAGTCTGATTTATATCTAGTGACCTATTAATCAAAAAGTACCCCCCAAAAAAGGTCTGAAAATGTTCACATTTTTAATGATTGCCCTATAGGACTCTTAAGGTTTAATACAGTTTATTAATAGGGATTATCAATAGAGATGGCCCGAGTGAAATAGCAAAACATTTTATAAGATATTAGATGAATGTACATTTAGATTAACATCGAAATATATCTCCTGTATATTTAAAAAGTAAAAAAAATGTGTAATGTTGTTCGCGCCTTATGTAAATTTTGATTTTGTTCCCTGCAAGAGGGTGCCTGCGAGCGCCGAACTACTTGTATATCTATTGTACGAACTTGTTCTTCACACAGTCTAATAAACGCAGTAACGAACGTTGGTGTCTACTTTCCATCCGCTAACATGGTCCATCGTGAGCCAGCGCATTTCTTTGGATGATGTGTCAAGACAATTTTTAACGTTCTGGTATAGAAGGACATTTCGTGCAGGAAAACGGATTTATATTTTGTCTGGATTGTGAAAACAGCGGCAGGAATATGGAGTCAATTTTAAAGCAAAAGCGTAATCATTAAGGGTAAGTTGACTCGTTTAATTTCACAAATAAATAGTTTACAAAATCAAGAAAATTCTTTTTCTGCCATTGAAGTGTACGAAAATGATGTTAGTGCATTAAGTGTTGAAGTGAACTGTTTAAACGATAACATTCTTGGTACTTGTTCTGACGCAGAGTTTAGTAAATATGAAATAGAAATGAATGAATTATTTTCCAAATTAGATGTATTAAAAATTACTTTAAAGGAAGAATCAAGAAAACTTAGAAATTCAGGCAAAGATATAATAAATGCTAATGCAAACGGCTTGAAACTTCCTCGCGTGGAATTGCCAGTGTTTACTTCTAATTATGTTGATTGGATATCATTTAGGGATTTATTTCTTGCCAGTGTTGGAAATAATAGTACATTAAGTGACAGTCAAAAATTGCAATATCTTAAGCTTTCTGTGAAAGGTGAAGCTGCTGTTTTACTACAGTCAGTTCAAATTTCAAACGCGAATTATGAAAAGGCATGGGAAGCGCTTACTGAACGTTATGAAAACGAAATAGAAATAATAAACGCAGCATTAAATAAATTAACTTCACAACCTGTTCTAAAACATGAATCAGCTTCAGGTTTGCGGAGATTAATTGATACAACACAACAGTGTATTGATACATTAAAAATCCTTAAACAGCCGGTAGAGCATTGGGATACTATGATTATTTTTCTGTTAAAAGGGAAAACTTGATCATGAAACACTAAAAGAGTGGACGATAGAGCATTCGAACAAGAAAAATTTCTGCTTTCGCTGAATTCAAGCGTTTTATTTTAAACAGAGCGAATGCTATTGCCTCTTTGGCGAAGGTGCCAGAGGGAGAAGTCAGTTTTGCCTTCTGAAATTAAAACTCGCAGGTTCAGGTAGCAGATACGCTTTTTCGTCCCAACTTGTGGCTAATGTGTGCGTTCATTGTAAGAGTAATTCTCATTCTCAGTTATTTAAATGTGATAGTTTTTTTAGAACTCCCTATCAAAGAAAAATGGGATATTATTAAAAGGAATAAATTATGTGCTAATTGTTTGAAAGATAGTAAAACGCATCCCATTTTTAAATGTCGTGCAGGAATGTGTAAATATTGTTCAAAGCCACATAATACAGTGTTATGTTCGAAAAATTCAAATGATGAAAAATGTCATATACCCATGGAACACGGAACTTCTGCTATTAGTAGCAATAACGCCACGGTGCCTGTTGCGCAAGCAGTTTTATTGCCTACTGCGGTTGTTTATGTTAAAGATATTAATGGCGATTTACAAAAATGCAGGATGCTAATTGATTCAGGTAGCCAGGGCTCATTTATTCGAGAGCACTGTGTAAATTTACTGCAGTTAAAGCGCACTAGTGCAAACATAAGTGTAAATGGCCTGAGCTCGCAAAAAATTGGAAAGGTTTCAGGTTCAGTTCAATTACAAGTAACATCTCCATTTTATAAAAACGCAAGCATTTCAGTTAATGCATTAATTATACCCAAGATCACGTGTGACCTTCCTCAATATCAAGTTGATAGATCTGTTTTGACATCTTTCAAACATTTGTGGTTGGCAGATACAAATTGTTTCCAGCCTGGCCCAATAGATATTCTTTTGGGCGCAGATGTATTTGGCGAGATAATGCTTCATGGACGTTTAACTGTTCCGGGTCATTCGTTAACAGCCTTGGAATCAATATTCGGCTGGGTCATTATCGGAAAGACTAAAAGTGTATCACAACAATTGTATCTAATCATGCTAGTTGTACCAATGTTCAGCTCCAGCTTGAAAAATTTTGGAAATTGGAAGAAATTTCGGAGATAAAGCATTACACAGAAGAGGAAATTGA